TGCTGCTTCAACTCTGTGCACTCCCATGAACAGGCTCTCACCAACCTTCCCAAAGGTCCAAAACAAAGCATCTATCTCAGAAATAGCTGCTAGTGAATCAAAAAGGCTCACTTCAAATAACACAGGACTGAGCCTTTCCTTCCATTGAATCACAATAACCCACATGCTACATTTCAAGAGCCACTTGATGCTACCTGCCAGTGGGTCACAACAGTCACCTCTGTGGGATCCGGAGTGCCATGTATTTTTTGTCATGTAATCAAGCTGTCAGCTGAGCCAACCCACCTGAAAACAAATGGTTTTGAAAGCTGCAAGTTGTATGGATTTACAGTGAACCACCTTTAACTTGTCAGCTGCTCAGGTAGACAGCAATTTGTGCAAGTCTTACATTTTCTTGGTCAGTATAGCTGCAAAGGCATCTCATCCCTCCAGGAGTTAGCAACTGTTCTTCAGCAGCTAATGCTTGAAAACATTTAATTTTCACTCACCATCTCTCATATAAAAAATAGTGAAATCTGTATTTTCTCTCCAAATTTTTCTCCAAAGCTTCTTACAGATTAAAATCCTACCACGTCCTTTAGATATTTACTAGAGAGCAAGCAGTTACTTTAGCCCAAGTTCTGCACAGCCAAAAATGCTCTTACTCTCCCACAAAAGGAGCATCAACTTCTCCTTTCTATTCATCTGACCATCATCATTACTCGCAGCACAAATGTTCTGTTTCCACCATCAACCCATCTCCCTGCACCTAAGCCACTCTGTTTCTCAGTTACAGACAATACACATTCATCCTTGTGCAAAATGAATCAACAGCTACTACTACTCTACTAGAAAGGAGGAGCAGATTCTGCTTCTTAGCCCAGATCAAGCTCCTTCTGGACACCTTCGTCCAGGGCTTATCCTTATGTGACAAGCATTCACTTAGTCATACAGTAAGTCAGTTTAACACATTAAAACAACCAAGCCCTTAAAATCCAACACAAAAGAGCTATCTCTTTCCCCCCTCACTCCTAATCAACAAACTGAAACAACTTCTTTGTAAACTACATGCTCCAGGAAATAATGTGGGAGGCAGCAGACTTCAAAAAAAAAAAAAAAAAAAAAGAGCAGGAAGTTGTTTATCTAGAACAAAGATTTACATTATTGTAAAATATCTCCTCCTTAATCTTTATAATGGTGACATACTTTTCCTAGATACTACTCACATTTTCACTCATAGATGCCTCCTATAAAAATAGAAACACTGAGTGTTGATGCAATTAAATTGAGCCAGGAAGGTTGTCTGCACAGGTCACTGTTGACACAAGAAATAAAGAAATCAGAGCTCCAAAATCCTAATGTATCATCTGCTGAGTTGACAGCCTTAAAGTATAAGTTAGAATACTGTCAACACAAGCACCACTGGTATTTGCTCTTGTTCAGGTCAGGATGATGCTCCCATAATTGCAACCTGCAAGTTGTTCCAAGTTGTTTAACCTGCAAGAGTTCAAATTCCCTAAAATCTAGAATGGTAAAATTTCCCAAAAATGGATGCAGTGAATTTTGCATTCCTCTTCGTGGATTTTCACTTCCTCACACTCTTAAAAACTAAACTCAGAGACTACTTCCTGAGTAAATAAACACACATGAATGCTATCAGCATGATCAAAACCAAAAAACCATTTCTTTTCACCGTCTATGCTATGTAACATATGCTCAGTGGTACACAAAAAACAACAGCACAGCTCTCATTAAATCAAGCCATAGAGAGACAATACAAATTCCTTAAAAAAAGTCTGACATTTTCAAACATCTTATTATGCAATGCTTAATGTTGCTACCTTAATTAAATTTCTCTCTTTATCACAAGAACAACTTATCAGTTCAGCTGTACATATTTTATTTTCAAAAGAAGTTTGAAATGTTTTAACTGCATATTTACAAGTCGGAAGGTGTCCCCTTCCTGAGGAGGCTTCTGATTTTTTCATATAGAAATACTGATCTCTTAAAATATATCATCCCCTTTATCAAGCAGAAATAAAGGAGCATGTTGATGTCAGTCTGAGTTAACAAGATTTACAAGAATCCAATTTAGCAGGGATAATTTGTGTAACAACATAAACAGCTTACATCAGCGAGCGCATTTCTGATTTACAGTTTTTGAAAATGCAGTCCCAGACTCAGTATTTTTGATGCTTGTTTTTAACTGTAATAACATAGTTTTGTCAAAGATTCCTTTCTATTGCACTGATATTCTGGTTAAAAAAAGCAAAAACCCCAAAGTTTCCATATACAGCACTGACAAGTCACAGACAGGGCCAATGTGGCAGGTATTAGGGAAGGACGAGTACAAACACAGACTTCAAAAGTCACAGTTAAAGATTGTGTAAGGAAAAAAAGATCTGCTTTAAAAAATTTGTTGTGCATATTATTACCAAATCCTTATCTCTCTTTGATCACTTCCCATCTTGATTTAAGAAGCAAAGTAGCCTTACTGAGTGAGCTGCTGAATGAAAGAATCTAGAAATGGCTGTTTAAACATATACAACAAAAAGTGGGGGGTGGGGAGGGTGGAAATCAGTAAATGTCTTCAATACCAACTCAACACAGAGCTGGTCAAGCCCACTCTCACAAGTGGTTCCTGAGTCATGATGCTGAGAATGTCTGTAATCAGTGCAACTGAACTTAGAGCTCCCACAAAAAGTTGTATTGCTGGCTTTCCAGAATTAAACCATTTCTTGCATGCTATGGAGACAACAGGCTAGTTTCTGTATTTGTTTTCATGTCACCTGAACCTCAGCATATGAGTGTCTCAGTTTTTATACTAGATAGCACTCGGCTTTTGTGTACTATGCAACTTAAAGCCATGACATTTGGAGGTGCAATACTTCCAAAACAAAATATAATTGCAGCCAATCAAGACTGGCTCATTCTGACACTCTAGATAACAAGATGGGCATGGCAGAAAGAAACTGAATATTAATTAAAATTACAAGTCAACCTTAGGACCAAGGCTATATAGAGCTGACTTAAACTTTCAGCACTGAAACTCTAAGTTTCTGTTTAAACTGATGAGATCATGCAGGCATAACTCCCAAGATCAGCTTAGCAAAACAGATCTGCACTGGGAAGGAATGAGGAAGGACGAAGTATTTCACACTAAGAAGTCAAGTGTAGGAAAAAAGACACTTTCTGAAATCAAGAACTACATTCATGTAAGTTAAAACCCAGTATTTATACATGAGAGTACTTGAAATTATGAAATATACACCACTTAAAACTTCACAATGGTGTGTTACATTGCTCACTCTTTGTTCCAAATAGGAGGCCAACCGTTGCTGGTTGGCCAAAGAATTTGATACACATTGTGTTCGTCAACCTGTTCCTCTTTGCCCACTAACACCAGCATGTCCACTAGCTGCTTCAACTCATTCATTTTTAGCCACAAGTTTTATAAAAAACTGGATTTGCCATGAAAATTACTTTATTCAGGCAGTAGGAGTTATAACTTAGGTAATGGTGGATAAACCATCCAGCAGCAGAAGCCAAAATACTCATGTCATAGCTTCCCTTTACATATATCCAACCAGATCACACTTTTTTCAGTTCCGATTCTTTTTTGTGCTGTGCCTATTAAGCTTTTCAGACTGTTTGTTTAGATTACCCATCTCCTAAGGGTGCATTCAAGTACCAGTGACTAGACATGTCTCCATTTAGTTTGTAAGAAATGCCTGTAAAAACTGTATCTAAACATTTCCTATATTACTGCATATCCTCATCACACATGGGTGTATTATACAGTAAAAGAAAGCACTTACCATAATATTTAAATAAACTTAAATAACTGCATCACTTTTCAAGTAAGGGATCTGACACAGAACACAGAATAACACAACATTTATTTGAACAATAAATGTTACAAAGAAGTTACATATACATATGCTAAAGAAAACATTTCCAGACTAAACACAGTGTAAGCCAGAAAACATCAAGCACTGTTCCAGTGAGATAACAGCAGCTTTTAGAAAATATACCAGAGCTAGCTATGCGTATCACTGAAAATATTGCTGTAATTCTTAAAATAGAATAAAAGACTACTAGATTCAACATACTAACAACTATATTTGATGTCGAAGTACTTCCCCTGTTATGTCAGTGACATGGAATGGGAAAACAGCAAAGTGATTCAAAGATGCCTCAGAATCTGGCTTTATTACTATGACTAACATCATTACTTGGACAAATCACATTAGAGGAGTGTGGAAGGCTTGTACAAAGTCAACTCAGAAACACTATTCATGTTGAGAATTGGAGTAATCATAGCTGATTAGCACAGCTGACAAGATCAAAAAAGAGTATCAATTAAAAAAAAAAAAGACAGTACACATCACCACAAACATTTATAATTATATTCTAGCCAATAAGACAAACAGATTCAAATTCAAATAAGTACAAGGAGAGCAACTGCAGCTTGTTTTTTATTTTTGCTTTTAAACAACCTATCAGCACATCAGGACTACTGGTATGTTTCACTGTGGATCTAATCAGTTCACACAGATTTACTGAGAGTTTGTTTTTAACAGGTTTAGCAAAGCAGAGAATGGGCTGAAGACTGGCAGGCAGAGCTGAGATTTTTACCTTTCAAATGGAGAAGGATCTTAGAGAAGTAATTAATGAACAAGGGCTCCAGGCTTAGGCAATATATCGTAACACTTCTGCATACCACAGACATTAATGTGACCATCAATTACAGGGTTATACACAGATAATGATTTTCCATCATGTGGGCTGTTCTCTCACAAGTCACAGCATACTTCATTAAAGTACTGCACCATATGGTAATTTTTTTCTGTTTCAGATTAACATTTAAGGACAAAAGAAATTACCTGCAATACTTTAATACACTTTCTTCCTTACTTCTTTATTGTGGAGGGAAGTGTTTTTGAACTAATATTTGAAATAGGTAATGTCAGCATTTAAGTTCTTCAAAACCTCTGTAAAATAAAAAAGCTTTGTCTTACCATGGCTGTGAGCAGTTGCTGGGCTGAGAGATGGCTGGAGTAACTCTTTGGTTGGAGTAAAAAAAGCTTCTTTCCCCTGGCGCTGGCTCATTTTTCCTGGAGTTAAAAGCTGCGATTCATCGCTGTTTGTTACCACTGCTGAAATACAAAATGGATGCTCAATCTTGTGTGCTTGTGTATAGATTTATATCATCTTCAATGCTTTTCATGAAACAGGGATTAAATGCCGTCTTGTGAAATACTTCTTTCTATAAAATGAAGATTTCAAACCAGAGATTTGCTTGGGAGGGGATGGCAGAAAGGAGCCAGAAAGACTGGTCTAAGATATGAGTCAGAAGATGAAAACAAAAACTAGTAGATGTACAAAAGCTGCAGGCTACTACTGAATACAGACACAGCACTGAGTTGTTACTTAAGTTCTGAAATTAGGATTTCTTTGCTACCTTTTTTTACTTGGCTTAACTAGTCACAAGAGAGTTGACCCAGGAAACAACTTGCTAAGTCAAGCTATACTAGCATCCCAGAAAGCTAAGATGAATGAATCTTAAACATCAAAGAAATGCATCTTATTAATAAAGATCATGTAGAGAATATATCAAGGGAAGTGGAACAGTTCCTCTCCTTGAACCTTATCAGTCTGAAAAGGATGTTTGATCTCTCCTAGTTATTCGTAGCTAGACAGCCATCCTGTTTATGCTGTTTGTACTTATCCTTAAGCTGCAAGTAACAGAACTGTAAGTTTTTTGATAGGGGAAGAATGGCTGACTCAGTAACATCTCTCCTTTAGAACTAGATGTATGGGCAAAAGGAGATTAAAAGAAAAACAGAAGATGCTTAGTAAGCAACATTCTGCCTAAAAGATTCTAACTTACAATGCTGCTCACTTTAAAGAATCCCCCAGCTTTCCTCAAAATAGTTTTAAAAGTTCAGAAGAATATGTAGTCAAAATAAAAAGTTCAATTTTCTAGATAGAACGTGCAGGTATAGAGGCTGTCTTCTTAGCTTTATTACTACTATTATTACAGTAGCTCAAATATGCTTTTTGAGCAAAGCCTAAAAAAACCACAAGGCATTAAGATAAATGTAAGGATGCTAAGATACCCATCCAAGATAAACCATCTAGAACTCTTCTCCAGATAAATTATACCATGACTGCTGCTCAAGAAAAGTGAGCAGATAGAAAAGGAAGCAAAAAGCTCATTTTCCTAGCTCAGGGCTCAAATGTGTCCCTTTTTAATCTTTTACAAAGATTCTTACAAAGATTTGGTTGGTTGGTTTTTTAACTATCAAGATGCAATGGTTTTTCAGATGATATTTGCCCGTAATTTAGTAGGCAAGCAAGCTCTGCACTCAAGTTCTAGAAAAGCATGAACTAAATTCCATGATATTAACTCAGCAACACCCATAGCAAGCTTCAAACTCCCCATTTAAACTCATACTCCTCTGTTAGCCTGCAGACTCGGTCTGAGTCTTGAAAAGACTGCTAGCACTGCCAGAAACACTCCTTCCCCATGAAAGAAAGGTTATGTATCACTTTACATATAACATCTTGTACACATGCCTACTGCTTTAGGCTGAAATTCTTAAATCAAGTGGGCTTGATTCAGAAATTCAATCTGTAAAGTTGGCAAACCTGTTACCTGAAGGATGAAACAGTGAATAAGATTACTAAGAAGATTTCATCATTTTTATATAAAGGATCAACTAGTGACCTAATTTTTTAAAATGCTTGCACTGTGTGGAGACAAGAGATGGACTCAAAGATCCTCGTGGGTCCCTTCCAACTCAGGGTATTCTATAATTCTATGCTTGGCAACCTATATAAATATAAACCTTAAGCGTCTTATGGCAGGAGCTCTGGAATCTCAGACAGAGACAAAGAAAACTATTTCAAAGGAAAGGAAAAAGTATTTGGAGATGAGAGAGGAGGAGAAGTTATGCATGTAATGAACATCAGTCTTTAAGATGTCACCAAATCAAACACCTAGCACTTGGAAGTAGACCTTCTAAGAGGAAATAATTATTACAAATTAATAGAAAGCTCAGCAATTTGGAGAGGCTCTTTGGCTGCCATTTATAGTTTCTGATGGATTGATTTTTTGAACGCTAACAAAATTTGTGGCACATACTTAAATTATCCATTTACTGACTATGCTTGATGGTCCCAATGGCTAATTTCTAACTTATTTGAAGTCAGAAATGATTTTATCCTGGAATTTCAGTAAATTCACAAAATAAAGTAGGTTTATCTCTCAGAAAAAGAGCAATGGTCATTCACTGTAGTGTCTTGCTTACTGGTGAAAGTTTAAGATGAATGAATGATGTTCCTAGTCAAACGTGTTACTTCTCATTTGCCCAAAATACCAAACTGAAGCTTCTAGTTTTAAACTTAGGTGTCCACACATACCTGCAGTAAAATCTTGGCAAACTAACGAAAGCTGTAAGTCTCAAAACCCACACTCATACGTGGACTAATCTTCAAAGCACTCACTTTCTAGAGAGTAAGGCTTTAGCATCTTAATCAGGTCTTTATGGCATGGACATCCAAAATCTGATTTTTCTAATGTCACTTAATTCTTAGGTTTCATATGTCATCTTTGCAACCTGAGAAATGGATTTAGTAGATACATACTCAGCATGCACATCAAGTAAAGTACAACAGCATTGCCAACCATTTCTTCCACTCAATGGCCTCTCAGTGGTTATGTATTTTAAGACTTCAGCTCAGGCTTCAGAGCACTCATTCAAAAGAGAGAAGATCTTAGTTCATCCTATCCTTTACCTGAACGGGTTTAAACTCATATAGTCTATCTCCTTGAAACTAAGCAGAATGCTATTTTAGAAAAGAAACATCAAGTAGTAAACATCAAAGTCTCTTTGTGAATCTTTGGAGGGCACATTTGAATACCAACAGAACTGTTAGAGATGATAATTCATACTTCATTCTATTTCTCACTACTAGCAATCAAATTACTAATTATAGATTGTCAGTAAGATTTATGTATCAGAAGAAATACAAATTGAGGTCTTTACAGCCAATTTATTTCATCAGATGAAGTTATGAAAAAAAAAAACTGAAGTGGTAGATTGCCAATTCTTCTGCTCCATAATGAGCATATCATATCAAAGTGCCTACACACTTAAAAACAATACAAGGACGTGAGATATAGGAAAAGGTTTATACAAATTCAGTTCTGCATTAGTTTTTACTAAGAAGCAACAGCAGCTCCACTTACAGAAAATCCAGAAAATTATAAGCTGGTAAATCAGAAGTGTTATTTAGGTAGTTATTTTAGCAGTAAGATTTTAAATACTCTGTTCAGGAATTTTCTAGCACCTAGCATGGTTACTTCTTTCATTGAAAAAAAAAAATTAAAAAATAACTTCAAAATGTGGGATAAAGAGGCTTCAGGAACTCTATGCATGCACATGAGTACACTCTAGTAAATGTAAGCTTTTCTGATCAAACATTTATATAGCACAGCTGTCTCATATTTTTTTCAAAGAATCACAGAGTAGTTAAGGTTGGAAGGGATCTCTGGAGCTCATCTGTTCTACCCCTTTGCTCAAGCAGGTACGCTTAGAGAAAGTTGCCCATTTTTACATTCGACTGTGAGGTTTTTTGCAATCAAAGTCTGGAAGACTATTTGTACCTCCTATCTGCAGCATACAAGAAGCTATATATAAGATATATTAAGCTATATATAAGGTGTATTAAGCTATATATAAGATATATTAACTATATATCGTAAATTCAGACAAGAGGCCAGCAGCTGCAAGACAGAGATAAATACCTCAAATAAGTTTATTTTGTACATCTATTATTACAGAAAGTAGCAGCATGTATTAATTTGAAAAATGAACAGTCGGATGCTAAAGGAACTCTTTCCATTGTCAAAAAGATAAATATTTCAATGATTAAATATCATTTTAATATTAAGAATGTGCCTCGCCAAAATGTACTCTTCATAAAGAGAAAACCTCTACCTGGTATGGGATACATGGACAGCCCACAATAACTGATTAAAATCATAGCTTCTGCACAGATTTCTTACAAAGGAGAAAGTTCATGCCCGCACCTGTCCCTCCCTCACAAGCACAGACTCTAAATCCCAGGCAAAGTTACTCTGCCAACATACGATCACACTGATGCACATGAAGCAGTGGCACTGGTTGATCTTTGCACGCTCATGAACACACAGAAGTTTTCTCTGTTAAAACAGCAGAGTCAATCTTTGAGTATTACAGTTCATGCACCAGTTGATTTCTGATGACTTACTGAAATAACTTAATGAAATTAAACAAACCATACAGCACCATAAACATAAAACTGCAAAAATGAATTTATTTCTGAACCACTATTTCCTTGTCTTTATTATCTACACTACAGAAGCTTCTGAAGGATTTTTTTTTTCAAAACAGTAAATTTTCCACTGTATCTCTGCTTCTGGATTTGAAGACAGAAGAAAATAAATTATTTAGCCTAGGTGCTCACGTACAAAGAAAGGGACTACCTATTATGCACATATGTCCAAAATATCATATAAAGGTGTGTTTACTTACTTGATGGTCCATGAGAGTCTCTGTTATCACCATGATGCTGTGTACACATACAATTGAAGAACGAAGAACAGCAAACAAAAAGATCCAGGCCAGGAAGAAGCAAGTGCACAAAAGCAGCAGCAGCGGGAAAGAAGAAGGACAATGAAAACAGAGTTAGTTCGTGGCTAAAATACAACATGCACATCAGAATCAAAGGCAAGACCTCAAGAGAATTAGCAGCTTAGAAAAGTCAAAGCAACAAAACTGACACATATACTAATAAAGCAGCCATTAGAAGCCGTCACTGTGTAGTTAGTGTACATGATGAGCAACTGCCCAAGCTGCTAATTCTGAGCAGTGGGAATCTCCCACTGCTACTATGACTTGATATATAACGTACACTAAGAAATTTCCAGCTGAAATGTTTTCAGAAGGCTAAAGCTCAAACGAAAGTTGAAATAACATTTATTTCCAAAACTGGACCACTTTCAGACAGGTGTTTCAGAAATAAAAAAACTCTGAAATGATCTTAGTGTGCAAACAAGCACAAAAGCACTAAAGCCATATCCAAGCCAGTGGCTTCAGTAGGCCTAGAAGCCTTCATTTTGTATCAAAATATTCCCAAAGAATAACTTGCATTAAAACATTATCTTCCTCCCATTGAGATACATGAAATGCGGCTACTGCAGGAGAACAATCACACACTAACAATCTGGACACCTTTCTGACATTGGAATTGGAATCACTTAAAAGTCACTAGTACCCAAAGCCACAATGGGCTTAAGATCCCACTGTGCTTAGCAGTATATAGACAAGGTAAGTTCCACCCGTCTCAAAAGGTTTACTACTTTTGAGACACATGCAAAAAACAGAAGAGGTGAAAGCCAGCACACAGCATGAAATGCCATTTTCTTTCTAACACCAAAATAAATCCAAAAAAGCTGTACCTGCTATACCTCAGACAAAAACCTTCTGCTCTATTTCCATGTAGAAAGGAAATCTTTGTCCTGCTTTGTAAAGCATTCAGTTTTACCTCTCTGTTATCAGGACTAATTAACAGCAAACTTGAAAAAAGTAAAAATCTTTGCAAGCAGGAGACTCATCAGTCCCCATCTTAAAACATAGACTTCTATTCCTCACAGATGATAAGAGGCATAAAATCATCACTGCTACATGCAGTGACAAGCAAACCTAAAATACTGAAACAAGAATTCTGAACCTGCAGGACAAATCATTGGAAAGATGAGGGAACACTTCTTTCATAATGTTGCACTTCATGGAAATAAAGTGTGCTTGGTAAACAGCCTTCTGCCCCCTGTCAGACACTTTAGGTCAGAGGGAAACACTCCTAAAGGAGCCCATGAACTTACCAGACAAGTTTAAGTACCAGCATATGAAATGCATACAAGAACTCAACAGTTTTCAAGGTACAGCTTTTTAGCAACGTACAGCAGACTAGGAGAAAACTTCTGTTTGGGCTGTAACTGTGCTACCCTAGGCTGTTTACAGACTGAAGAGAATTACTGACAAGAGAGCAAGGAAAGAGCCTGCAGTAGCAGATCCAGCAGCTGATGGAAGGACTTGAAGCACCAATACTCAGTGCTGGTCTGCTTTATTTCACACTGCAAGTCGGAAAGCAAGAGAATAGAACTGGAAAAATAAATTACTAACAGGCACACAGGTCAGAAGTTTTTGATGCACGGTTGCTAACAGCACATACTTACGCGTTGAAGAAACACAGAGAAAAAGCACAGCAGAGGGTTCTGTCTCACAGCTGCTTCTCAAGCAGTTTGACCAAGATACAACATGACACCACAGAGCAGGGCAACCGGTCACCCGAGACGATGCAGGGACTTTTGCGTAAATATTTTAGCATTGCCTGGTTAATCCTATGCACCGGTACAAACAGCTCCCATGCCAGGGACTGAAACACAAGCCTGGCCTAACTCTGTCCCTGATCTTCCCCAATAAACATTCTGTTTACACATCAAACCACGTTCCTTGCTGGTCAGCGTCCCCTTCATTAGAAAGAGCTGAGCCTGTGCATTTACCTAAAACCAGATGAATATTCTGAACATGATGTGAGACATTAAAATACTGAAATGAGATTATCTCAGTCAAGAAGACCTCTCTATTTTCCAATAGCCTATTGCACCTCAACAATTTGTAATTCCTATCCCTGCAGATCAGCAATTCAAACCCTTCAGGAAACAAAAAATGATCATTTTACTACCTCGGTGACTGCTTTGAAAAGAATGCCCCCTTGGGGCATTCCCGTTCCTCATCTCCCATGATTTTTATTTTAAATACAAAGAATTAAGATAAATCAATATACACTTATTTCCAGAGACACAGCCCACTGTATTTTCACATTTATTTAATTGACGACAAGCTTCAGTTACAGAGTAAATCTTCTGCTGAGGCATATTCAATTAAAAGTGTTTCTACCAAACCATACAAAGCTCAGCACTACTCCCAGTAACATTTCAGCTATTCAGTACCAGGGAAAGAAGAACATCGACACAGACCACCTCATGCAACAGCAGCCAGAATACTGTTTTCATACAAAAACTGCTCTGTGCTTCAGAAAAGCATTATATTTAGACTTCATTTCTCAGGGATAAAGCTTATAATAACTGCCACAGAGCCTAAAATTACATCTGCCAACTTGTCTTATAAAACAAAATCCTTCTCCTGTTGAATATTAGGCAAAAGCAAAAGTGAATGTCATGCTAGCGTGTCCCAATCTCACACTATACGAAATCAATTTATTAAAAATATTTACTAGACTTACAATCTAAACCTACAACTAAATTCTTAATAGAGTTTGAATACATATTTTAAAGCCAAATTAGAATTTTTAGACTGATGAAGAGAGATATTTTCAGGAAGCCATCTTTATTACACATGAATCACTAATATTAGTCATGTTTCAATTAAATTCAGGACCAGTAACCCAGCCTGCAGAGCTGATCAGTAAAAAGGACCAATAAAATATAATTTGAGGGGGGAAAAAAAAATTACTTTGCCACCTGCTGATGCATTTAAATAAAAGTACATATTCCCAATTTCAGATGTAACCTGTTAGCTTCCAATGCAGCAAACAGTTTTGCTTCCTATAGAAATGCTCTAGAACAAAAATTTACCACTGATTTGAACTACTTACTGATTGAACTCAGGCTTAATGCTTAATGGAAAGTGCGATATAAGATGATCACTTTTATCCTAGTTTGTGCTGGATCTGCCCAACTTCAGATTTCTATGTAGTAAAACGTACACAGCCTCGCTTCAGGACACCTTTTTAAAAAAAACATGCTTTTGTGAAGGCCTGTCACAAAAAAAGAAGTAGGAAATTTCAATTACCTTCAACATCACAGTGAACTTTTTTTTTTAGGTTAAGGAGCACAGCAATTGAACTGATGGTATTTTTTTTTTTTTTTAATAAAATATCCTATTAGAGAGTTGACAGATGATACTCAAAGTGCATTGTGCATGGGATGTATACATATTTGTCCTGCACAATCCAGGGAAATTTTAGCTATAGGGAAAAAAAAACCACAATTTTTTAAGTGCATTGTAAAACAATCTCAAAATGATTTCTCAAAAGTATTTTATTACTGCCTTTATCTTATCAAATAAATAACTTCATGCGGTAGTTGAACCATCACAAAAAAAAGTTTGTTTCTAATTATTAAACTTCCTATTACCTCAATTTACAGAATTCAATTTTGCCTTTTGGAGGCAGCACTTTGTATCAGAAAACAGTTTTGGAAGGAAAAAATCATTTCCTACTTCAGTTATTAGAGTGCTTTCACATAACGTAGCTTGTGGAAAAAAATAAGTTCTTAAATAATTCTGACAGCCTGATGATGACTAAGTGTCACAGCACCCTCTGTGCTCTTCCTGTTTTTAACTTGTGCTTAGAAAGAGAGCTGGGAGATTCACTACTTCAGAAAATATAATCTGCACAGATTACCAACTGTTGTACCTGAAATGAGCCTGAAAATACATAATTAGCTCTCTTCCTTTCTTTTCTCCCCCTCATTCCACTGAGAAATATTTTTCTTTTTGTCCATAGTAAATAACTGATAAAGTTAACAAGTGAGACTGACAGGAATATTTTTCTTTTGGGATTCAGATGCATGAAGTATCAAATCCAAGAACCAGGCATTTCTTGACATCCAGCCCTCTTGCCATTAGAGTCTACCAAATTATGGTTGATAGGACATAATGTACCAAGTACATCTACCAGAAAAGTATTGACTCCAACAGAAACAATTCAAGCTGTTTGGCTCTTCTCCTAGGAGAAACATCTTTGTTTTCATTTGAATACATGAAGCCACATTTAAGTTACTCACTGAAGTTTTGTCAAGCTCCCCATCAGCCAGAACAGTCTCCATGCTGAAAGAGTGTGTTGTCTCTCTCCTTCAGCTACAGTTCTTCCATCCTGCCACTCAATGTCCTGCAGAGAAAACAACAACAAAAAAAAGTAATGCCCAGTGTCTGAAATCCATTAAAAATCTCTCATAGAACAAACAAAGAACACAGAGTCTTCTACTGTATGCACTCTGTATTATGGTTCCTTGCAAAATGCACACACTACCTATAAAACTCAGCCTTTTAGGACTGAAGGGAGAGGCCAGCTTCTGAAAAAATGGTCAAAACAAAAGCTATTCCACACATATTCAAAAAGGCAAGCCTTTACATTTAGTCACACTTGTAACAAATGAGGAAGAGCTGCAAAAACATAAGAAGGAAAAAAAATAGCTAGATAGAGGGAAATCCTTCATTTTTCCCTTGTATTTTTCCTTCATTCCAGATGTCAGCAGCAGCACACTGCTCCAGTCCTGCAGACACAAGCACACAGATAGGCCGTTTGAATATATAGAAGCTGTTCTGGAATAGCAGAGACAAAGAGCTTCTCAGATTAACTTTGGAAACAGCCATGTTTGACTTTGTGGAACCACAACAGAGAAATTAAATTATTCAAGTCAGCCAGCCCATCTGTGGCACGCCTGGGCATTCAGCTCATGGTCACTGCCCTGGAATTTGGCAAACAATACCTCATTCTCTTGATACTTCCTATTTACTTCTCTGATAGAGAACAAAAGCTATAAAAAAACATAACCAACTCAGTACTACACCACATGTGAAGCCAACAGTGAGACAAGAAAAGGGTTTGGAAACAGAACTCAGTGGGAAGGCTTAATCATGTGCTTAGTGGGTTAGAGGGAAGCAGATGAAGATGGGATGAGCGCAGAGATGCCCACCTCCACCTACAGCTCTGCCCCTCTTTCCATGGCCTCAGAGAAGAGACAGAAGCAGAAGTGAGGGCTGCAAGCCAGCCCATACAGAACGGAGGAAGGCAGCATCCCACCAGCTGTCCCAGCAGCCTCAAAGCACATTCACACTGCCTGCCCTCTTGCCAGTCAGCAGAGTATTAGCCCAAGGACACTTTCTTCTTCCTTTCTAAGAAGGGCTGGGCAGGAAGAAGTTGAGTCAGAAGCCAGATGCTGAACATTTGGGCAAGAAGAGGAGCATGAAGACTAGAATGGAATTTTTTTTAAGCTACAGTATTAGCATATTGTGGTTGGGGTACACATGAAGCTGTAGCTTCAGCTCAAGCAATAGCAGAATGAGCAACTGAGCAGAGAGAAAGGTGGTCCCACAGCCTTCTGGGAGCTGGAGGCTGCAGGAGGACGGGGAGAGAGATGGGAAAAGAGGAGTGGGAGAGCACACCAACCAGGCTGTGCAGCTCCAAGCCTGCCTTGGGAAATACACACTCATGGAAGAAAATCTCACATTTGTTCAACTGTTCCATTATTACCATAGTTTTTGTTCTTGTATTACATAAAGCACATTAGAATTAAAACTCCCTTAGGCAGAACAAATAGAATTAACACACTGTAGCAAATTGAAATACTAAATTACCATAACATACGCCACTGAAACACAAAAGAAAGTGATAACTTTTTTAAACGAAGTCATACTCTGCCATTTTGCTTAAGAAATTGCAAGGGTTATTGTTCTCCATGACTCAGTTCAAGAACCAAGGAAGACCTTATTCATGCACCTCAGCAAGTACTGAGATGACATGTTACTGGGAAGTGTAGCCTGGATGTTCTCATTTAAATTAAAAACACTATCCGTTGGAAAGGAGATTATTATAAGGGATTAATTGCTATTACTGAGGTGAAAGATAACATTACCACGGGCAGAACTTATCCCCACAGCTTTACTTCCAGGAGCAGCAGGCACAGCAGTGCTGCCTCCCCAAGGGCAGCCGGGGTGCAGACCACCGAGGCACCACTGCTTCATGCTCCTGCAGGCCGCTCCTTTTCATCTCTTCACCCCACACCCGTTTGGGGCTCTATTATTAATAGGCTATTCAACAGCACCAGGATGGCTGCACACACATTCAATTTACGGAAACACTAAGCACTCTCAAACAGGATGAAAAAGGAGTGACACTACAAACAGATGTACACGCTGATACCTAAAGCAGTTAGTCAGCTGTCGGAGTTGCATGAACTCGCTGCCACGCTCAGTTATGCAAACAAACAGATCTTTCCTGACACTGGAACATTCACCCTAAAGCTGTTTTAAACAGATCTCTATTTTTACCTTATTTTTATCTTTGAGTTATTATTTTTATTGGTAACACTCCTGGTGCATTCTCGTTCTGTCTGTCCACAAAACTGCAGCCCCTTCTTCATCTTCCCTCCTTTCAGTCCCAAAGGTGGTACCCATGACTCCTACCCTAATATCCACTTCTTGGCATTTGCTGCCTTTTGTGGTGGCCAGGCAGCAGACAATCCAGCACAGCCCAGTGCACCACAGAGGAGTTACAGGGGAGGGAAGGCTTTGCCTGCCCACGTTGGAACAGTCGCAAGAATAGAGCAGATGTAGAACTGGTAGGGGACTGCATTCCCCCACGTTGTTTCACAGATCAGCAGACAGTGGGCTACACTTATTTCTCTTGGCAAAACAGAGGATGAAAGTGTACAACATTGGTTCTGAATGTGCCAAAATAAATACCAGAGCAGGAAAAGGGATCTCTATATTGCCAAAAAGGAAAATAAGTCCTAGCACTGAGAGGAAATTTATTTTGAAAATTACAGATTCTAGGACGAGGGAGATGTATTTTTCAGCTGCAGCCAGGTCACTGCGTGGGTGCTTCCAAGAGTGAGTGAAGTCTTTTCTACTTCAAAAAAACCAAACATTAGGTTTGAAAATACAACCCCAATCTTAAATCACCACCTTCTTAGCTTTTGGGAGGCCTTTATGATGTGCTTTTGCTGTTCTCACCATGTACACCAACACTGACAATCTCTCTGTCCGGTTGGTCGGCTTGGGTTTTTTAATTTACAGATGTTCTCATTCTATAATCACACCTCTTAAGAGATTAAACATTCAGAAGAGCTCACAAACTGAAATTGTTTCAAGATAAATATATGATGATAGCCCAGCTAATCCCGTTTCTTTTATAAACAACAGATACAAACAGACATTTAGAAAAGCATTGCACATTTTAAAGCAGCTGTAACAATTAGACAAATCATGCTATAAAACAAGCTATTTCTCTCCAACTGTGAAAATAATCTAGGGTGATTAGCTCAGAAGCATACATTTCAAGCAAAAAGGAAGATCCAACTTAGCACACAACCAGCAACCTGTCACGCTAACACCTCTGTTTATTTCCATTGCTGTTTCATCAATGGACCAAGCTATTTGAATCTTTGTAGACTACATGATTTAGGTAGGTTTTAGCTTTGTCCTTAAGTACTGTCACCTGCGGTCATTAGATATCCCATTTGCACTGTGCTGCTTCCACATCTGCTGTAGTATCACGGTTTACACTGCAACACAGTAACTCGTAGACAAGTGCACAGCCCCGACTGTGACCTGCTAATGGGCCCCAGAGAGTGCTTGCTGAAATGGATACCCAGCACTGCTCTGGCCTGCCCAAGGGGGAAGTATTCTCCAGGGCTCTGACCTTAAAACAGACCTGCTAATCTGTTGGACACCTGCCTTCTTTCTTTAAGGTCTGGAATAAGTTACTGCACTTCAAACACCCAAGATGGTTATCAGCTAACAGCATACTCTAAATTTTGTTATGATGACACGGGTGTAATTACTTGACTTCAAAGATCAGCAACAAACACAGACAGGCACACAAGCAAAAATAAAACCTAGCTGTTTGCATTGGCATCAGGAAGGGTAAGAATTGACCTAAGTCCTTTCTGCAGTCACAACAGCACCTGAGAAACACTCCACAGGGAATCACTGAATCATTTAGGTTGGCAGTGCCCCTCATTTAGGGAGGGACACTCAGAGCAGGGTGTCCGGGACCATGTCCACGTACATTCTGAAGATCTGCAAGGAGGAGACTCCACAGCCTCTCTGAGCAGCTTCTGCCATTGCTCTGTTTCTTGGTGCTCAGAAGGAATCTCCCGTGTTCCTGTTTGTGCCCATTGGCTCTTGTCCTGGCACTGGGCACCCTGGAAAAAGCCTGGCTCCATCCTCTTTGAATCCTGCCTTCAGGATCACTAGGAGAAGAGGTCTTTTTCTGGCTAAACTGTTCCAGCTCTTCCAGCTTTTTTCTCCTCTGAGGCCCTTCGCTGATCTCCAGTATGTCTATGCCTCTTTTGTACCGGGAAGCCCAGAACTGGACACAGCACTTCAAGTATGGCCTCAATACTGAGTTGTAGGGAATAATCACCTCTCTCGACCAGTACTCTATTGCAGCCCAGAGTGTCATTGTCCTCCTCTGCAACAAGGGCACATTGCTCCCTCACAGTAAATTTGGTGTCCACCAGGATCACCAGGTAGTTCCACATAAGCAGTTCTCAGCTGTGGTTATCAGTGGGTTCAGTTCAGTAAAGCCTGTATGAAAGCTTAAAATAGTACCCTTGAGAACAGTATAGGTGCTTAAAAAAAAATGATAAGTTTCTTAAAAACTAAGAGCTTATGGGAACAGGATAAGTTTTAAGAAATTCAAGAAGTCTAAATCCTAAATCTAACTAGGATAATCAAACGAAGGCTCTCAAATAATTCAAGTATCTTTCAGCAGCCATATGTCAGGGACAAGGCATTTTCGCTCTGGTCCATGCAGTGGGAGACATTCAGGGACACTGAACTCTGAAGAAGATACACATCTCCCATCTTAGGCTGTCTGAATTCAGTGCACCAGAAGAAATACAGCACCCTGGAAGCAGCGTAAGACCACACACCGGCTCTTTCAGTTCATGAGTACACACTGAGTGTGCTCTATTAACAAGCTACAGATCAGGCCAGCTTCTTGCACATAACACAATGTCACCACATGCCAAGGACCGCATGTTTGTTGAGAGCAGTTCCGAGAAAGCAGAAACTGAAGCTGAGTTACTGGTAAAAATGGCATCTGTCCAGAAAGGTCAAAAGCGAGATGATGATCTTGTTAAAAA